GCCATGCAGGCAAATTGAAACAAAGCAGATTAAAGTTTGTGATGGTCAAAAATGACTTCAACTGTAATGGCATATATAACCTGTACATATGCATGCATCCCTGATTGGGGACAACTGTAGACAACAAACTTAAATTTAATTCTGTTAAATTTTGTGAATACAATGGTTTTGTGAGTCCTTCATATAGGTTTGTGTGCTCACTACATCATAACTTGGGTAAGAAGAACACTATCCAACATTCCCAATGTATGAATGTCTAATTCATAGCTGCTCTTGAACATAATGAGATAACTTGATGGTCCAAAAATTATGTCTGAAGTCGGCTGGTTCTGAGAAAACTTCACCTGGTTCATTTCAAAACAGATTCTAATGTTCCTTTGGAAAAATCTGCAGATGTTCGTTCTCAGAAACAAGGTCTACTCCTGCACCAGTCTACCTCTTCACAAAGATTCTGTGAATATTCCCTTTGAATGCCAAATAGGGAGACACCCAATTCAGTTGAAGAGAGAGATGTTCTTCTAAGTGTTGTTTAGTCTGCAGTTACGCAATATGCAGACATATTGCAATGAAAACTTTTGTTTCAAAGAAGTACAATAAAGCACAACAATTATCTGATATGAGTACTTCAGTTATAACTTTGTCAGTGTGACTATTTAAAAAAAAAAGAAAAAATAACCCATGCTTAGATCCATACCACACTACTGTTCTCCAAATAAACCACACTTGCCATGGGAATCCTTTCGCTGGAATACCCATGAGGGAATATGAAAGACAAAATACATTCTGTATTCATTGATGGATTCTCATTGGAGGTCTCACATGACAACACATGACAACACCTAGAAATCTCTAAAAGACTTTTAAGCCTCCTTGCTGTCAATGCTGCAGTTTCTGCTAGTTCATCAGTTCCTTTCTTCTTAGGCGGGAGATACTCTTGGTGTAAACTAACAGGATTAGTGTTCATTTGCCGAGCTTTGATCAGGTTGCAATTTGTATTTGTGGGCAAGATTCTCATAAATTCTGAACATAGTTTTTCTCCTCCCTCTGCAAAAATGCAGGACACTTGATTTAAGTGTACATTCCATTAACCTATTTCCTGAGGAAGAAATGATATGCAAAGGCAAAACAAAACCTAAATAAAGAAATAAAACATAAGTTGTTTTTGAGTAAAGTTAACATCTAGCATTGCTTATTCCCTCTACTAATGTTAAGATTTTCAAGAACTCTTTTATTTTTCCATTTCTATCCAACAATATTTTTTAATGGCTCAAATCTTAGAATATGCTGTTATGTACAATTAAAAACACAAATCATCCAAGCAAAATAAAAATATAACAAACCAATTTTCAACAGTTGCAAGAGGTTAAATGCCTCATACGTTTAGGGTAGAATCCTAAACAATCAACAAACAGACTTGTAATATTATTTTCAAAATAAATAAGTTAGCATCTAGCATTGCTTATTCCCTTTACTAATGTTAAGATTTTCAAGAATTATTTTATTTTTCCATTTTTTATCCATTTTTAATAGATCAAATCTTAGAATAAAAACACAAATCTTAGAATAAAAACATAAATCATAATAAGGAAAATAAAAATATAGCAGAAACCAATTTTTTAACAGTTGCAAGAGGCTAAACTCATGAGAGTTTAGGGTAGATTCCTAAACAATCAACATATATATATAATTTTGTAGTCGCAGACCAAAATGCGAGTGCAACAAAAGAAAACACAAGAAAAATATAATCACAAACAATTAACACCAGAAGCCTTGGCTAAAGGGAATTACAACGTTCTCCTCTAATATAGGAGGAGCCATCCCCTAGACAATGTAAAATCAAATTACTAACATTAGAACCAGAGGGATCAATTCCAAGGAGAGGCAATAATTTAATTCTGGCTGTATTATACATAGGGCAGTATAATAAGACATGCTCCACAGTTTCAACTTCAGCCCTGTCACAGGGGCATAGTCGGTCACTAAACAGGAGACTCTTGAATCGCCCATCAAGGAGTGCTGAGGGAAAGACATTGAAACGGGCTAGGGAAAAGACTCTTTCATACTTGGGGATGGTTAGAGTATAGAAATAAGAGGCCATACAATCAACAAATAGACTTCTCATATTATTTTCAAAATAAATATTGAGATATCTCACAAATGCTTTTGGAAATTTTTAACTAGTACTTTTTCCAGCCAATTCAACCAAAGAAAAGGAAGTATGTATTTCGGAAGGAAGACTTAAACCATGCAACCAGGTTACAGAGCACATGCTTTACATATAAAGTGTCAAAACTCCAGATTTTGATCCTTTATAGGCAGGGTTGAATTCTTGCAAAACTACCGCAAATCCCTGTATATACAGAAGCTGCATTTATGCCCCACTTGTTCTGAACCACCATTTTGCCTTCAAAATCCAAAGCACTGCATAACATTAAACTAGTTGGATCTTCTGACTTAATCGCTTCCTTTTATCATTAGCAAATTGATATTCTATGATTATTAGTGAATTGAAGACTAATACATGGGAGAGGCTGCATCTCCTAGAGAAGCAACCTCACTCAGTTGTTGAGAAGGAGATTAAGTTTAGTATGATAAGGACCTTTGTGCTTTTGCTGCACTATTTTTCCAAAATAAATTTTCTAATAACAAGTCTGATAGGAATCAGAAAAAAAGCCTTATAACTCAATGAGAAGCAGAGCAATACAACAGTGCCACAATTTAATGCATGAGACTTCACCCAAAAAATTAAAATGCAGACCATTCAAGGACTTAAACATTCTGGAATAGCCTCAAAAAACGGAGTGTCAGCCCACTGCTCTCAACATTAAGAATAATAGGTTTCCATAAGCCTTGATCTGAATGTTGCAGATACATCTTCTGTATGCTTTTTAAAAGCAGCTTCACATTATCCTCAAAATGACTTTACCCTCTCCTCTATAGCACATGATGGCTAAACTATAGGCACATAATTGTGTATTTGCACAACTTGCTTGACTCAGTTATGGGGTTAAGTCATTTTCATTGCACAATATATTGAAAGAATTGTGAAACTGAAAGAAACTGCTTAGGATGTTGATCTCACTGTACATTTAATCAAATGGCTTGGATTCATACAACATATGAAGCTGCAAAAACACCAATCAAGGGCAACTTTGCTTGTCTTTACTTGATCTGGTCAAAGCAGAACCACAATTTTTAATTGGGGCTATATAACCAGCTCCTACCACATTCTGAGTTGTCCACCAGTGCTCAGTTCCCTTTTATTTGATCTTATGTATGTTTTTCTTTAAAAGAAATCTATAAGTTATATTCTGCAGTTATTTTAGCAGCAGGAAAAAGGGAAGGCAGCCTTGTCAAATTCTGGGAAAAGCTTCTTCAGAAGCTGCCAAGGCTCAAACAAATGCCTTTTGAAACAGTGCTGCCCTTTGTGTGACATAACCACTTAATGGGAATCCAGCCTAAAGACAAACTTCTGAAAAGATCACCAGCCTTGATGGATAACTAACTAAGGAGGGCCTGAAGCTGTGGGTGTTCCTCACCAAGTCTGCCAGAAATTTGACAAGGTTGCAAAAAGGAAGAACCAGAAACAAAGCAAAAGGGAAGGGAAAGACCTGCCTCAAAGCTAGCAAATGGTTTGATAAACTATTCATTTTGCACTTTAGGCAAAGGTCATGTTTTCCCTATCTTCTTTTAGCTCATTAGGTTCTTTGATGGAGATTTTTCTATCCCAAAAACCCAACTGAACTTCTCTTTCAGTTCCCATCCTTACAGCATCCCAGATACTGACAAACTGAAATGCTTTCCCCACTTTTTTGACCGCTTTTTGTGCTATCACCCATCAATAGGGGGGGAAAAGACAGCAAAACAATAAACAGCAGTGCAGAAAAGGGAGAGAATGTTTTTCTTTCTGGAAAAGAGAAAATCTATTTATGGTTTGGATAGGATGAATAATCAAAGAAATTCATGCTGAAGGCTAGATTTAAAGATCGTCTCAAATGTGAGGTCCACATGTCATAAAAGGGCCAAGTTTGAAGACCCCTTGCTTTAGGGTATTTCTGAAGAACTAGAGGCCCCATCAGCCAACAAAGTAGGAAGTTCAAAAGTAAAAAGATTATAAAATTTAGAAAGAAATCAATCGACTTGGAGGTTTGTTTGAAATATGATACTATATATACTTTTCTACATATACTTTCAATATCTACAAGAAAAAAAATGAGGGAACAGATCCATGAATTCTCCTCTTCCTTGACTCCTTATTTTATTGAAATCTTTAAAAATTTTAACCTTAAATAAATAATCATGGGTATTAACCAAGCAAGACACAATACTGTGCAATAAATCCAATGAATGCCATGGACAACAGCTCATCAGCTTCCATACATTTTGATATAGGTTGGAAGAACGTCCTAGCTCTGGCCACCCATACAAGAATGACTTCATCACTCATCCCCAAAACTGCATACAATATTTATGTTATAATCCCATTTAAATATTTTTAAAAGGACAAAGTTCTATGACTAAAGTTGTAACTGCTCCAAAACTCTTTAAATCTTCTATAAAACTATCTTACAACCCTGTTATACTTCAGTGAAGTAGATCCCTTCCTCATGAATGCTATGTTCTATAAAACATCTGCCCAATATTTTTTGTGCATTTTGGAGTGCCAAATAGGTATCACATTTTTCAGACAGCAAGACCTGAAAATATGTTCCGGGCACAGTACATACTTTGAAGGCATCAGAGAAGACTGCAATACGTAATACCACATTGTCATGCTACGCTTCAAGATATTACATTATGTACTATGACTTCATCCCGGATACAGAAATTCTTAGGAGGCACATCTGGCCTCTTATGTGGGCCATTAATGTGGAAATTTTCCCTGACATTCATACCAGGAAGACTGTGTGATCACACTCAGTCTGTGAACTATGCCCAATTCATTTTTGCTCTTTTTCCCTCCCCTAGAAGACAAGAGACACAAGATGAAAGAGCCTCACTATGTTCATAAGGGTGAGAACATAATTCTGGACATGCTCCTTCCCATGGAACCGTACAACCGAATCATCCACAGCCAACAGGACCTCTATGTTGTAGTCATCCTTCTTTGCATGTCGCCTCTTCCTGTCTGCTTCACCCATTTGATCTTCAATTAGATTCAGAGCCTGGGAGAGCTGACCCAAGATGAAATCTGGAATTAGAAGAGTTAAAAACAAATGATAGTGTAAGACATGGGTGAAACAGGATCACCTTAATAAGCCTGCTAATATCTTTTAAATGCATTGGTCCATAACACCTGCATACACACACAAATTCAGGTGTTCAAACTGAGGTTTATATATATAGCAGCTGGATAGAAGGAAGGAAGAAGGAAGACAGCTACATCCAAGTGCCACCGAAGGATAAGACAAGTCCTAAAGAACCAGCTCAATGGGAAGAACAAGATCTAAGCCAGGGGTGTCAAACTGCCAGCCCGTAGGCCGGTTGCATCATGCAGAAGCCACGCCCACCCCAGCTCCAGCAAAGCAAAAAAGTTGCGATACATCGCAATACATCGCAATATGTCATGTGACGCGGCGAGTTTGACACCCGTGATCTAAGCCATCAGTGTGACGCTACCTACTTTTATAATGTTCTGCTTGCAAATTTGAAAATGCAGCAATGGAACAAATGCTAGACAAGACTCCAGTATTTTCTCATCTAAAGATATAACCTTGGACGTCTTCTACCCTTAGCACTGGATGAAAATGCTAACGGTGGAACCTGCACACTTTCCTTATTAGCATTGCCTGTCTCTCTTTTATTTCCCATCTAATCCCAGGATGAAATTATCTTTTTCCAAACCATTACGAAAAGTTAGGAAATTGCCCAACATAGATTGACATTTTGGAGTAAAAGATAGGAGAATTAATCTTTTTGCTCTTGCTATGATTTCAAATCAGAGAAACACCTACCATTTGCAATATTAAAATAAGCTTCACTGAAAATTGTAAATGTGAGTGGAGTGATACCAATCAGTGAGGGCAAAATCCTTCCATACCCCACCACAGGGGATTAAGGCTAATCAAGAAACATCAAACACTTAAAAAGTGACAAGGATCATATTTTGAGCCTAGAGGTTTGCTAAGCCTTAGTTTTTAGCCATCTTTGTTAAGTAACTCATAACTGTCATGAAAGCCACCATCTCGTAGCCCAACCCAATTCACAAGAGTTTTTGTGGGGAAAATCGGAGGCAGAAGCATTAGGTATGTACATTGTTTTGCCTAACCAAAAACAAAGGTGAGGTAAACATTTTAAAATAAATAAATAGTAACTGGATTCACACATCATATATAACTATAAATGATGCTTTTCAAACACAGAGCTAGGTTTATACAGCCCGCTTACTGTCAATGTGTCTTTGCTCAGAGACATTCAAGAACAATTACACCTTCTTTGAAATTGATGCTGTGCAGATTGAGACCAAATACGAATTCTGTACAGTCTCCTAAATAAGATGAATATGTCATTGTGTTTGTTTCCTCAGTCGTACCTTCATTATGATAATCTTCGAATGCTTCTGTTCTCTCTTGTCTAATAGCAGACCTGCGGTAGACTACATGAGCTCTCCCATCCTCTTCTTTCTCCCACTGTCCTCTCTCCAGAGGCTCAATGAAAAATTCACCATTGTCTGTTCGAATGAGGCCAGCCTGGAAAACCACAGGACAAAAGAATGAAAGAAAAATAAAATATTTATTTTCTTATTGATTAACACACCTTTGAATTTGCTAAAGGTTTAATCACTTCTCTTGTTATTAAAGGAATACTTAAATGTTAATTTCTATCACAATTCAACAGTGTAGCAGTTGTGTATCCCAATATTTTCTTGGTGGAAACAAATAGACAACATGCAGTTTCAGCAATGATCAAACGCCAAAAGCAAATGTCCATAGCCATATTTTTATTTATTTATCGTAGTTATATAGCAGTCCATATCACTTAAATGAGATTTTGGGTAGCATACAACCAATGAACAGTTAAAAACAATGCAACAACCATTGAAATCTATTAATAGCTGAAACTGTAAGTGTGAAAAATTTCAAGAATACAAAATTTTGGTTCTTCACGGACATTTTGCCTCAGGAGAATATTATTAATAAATAATGAGTTAATTATCTGAGTTTGGGGGATTTGTGCCAATGCAATTCTTGTTCCTTCTAATATGTTCTTTCCAATTTATCTATATTGTTCTTAGTGTGGATTTAACAGCTTCAGGAACTGAAATATTCAACTTCATCTAAGTTGTATTCAGAAGTGGCTTTCTAGTTTCAGTTCATGACAGCTCTATTATTCAGGTTTTTAAAAATATGTCAGACAAAGCATGCTATAGAAATGTTAATGAGTAACATCCTTAGACAGAAGTTACTACATGGAACAACATATTTTAAGTAGCAATGTTACAATGAATTGAAATAGCTGAAATGCAAATGGAAAAGAGCTGAAATGGATTGTACATTGACTGCAAACATTCATAGTGCTGACTTAAGCTATCACTAAATCTGCTTGATCACCATGCTCTTTCACTACATCTGTTGGTTAGGCAAAAATTCTTTTCTAATACATAGTGGTTATATCCTGACCCTGGTAAAACAAAAAAGTCTGTGGGAATCTCACACCAGGACAAGCCATATTACTATACTTGGTGACCTCCAATTTATCATTATTTATACATTTATTTATTACTTCAGAGTTGCCTATACTTGCCAGTATGTATGTATACAGTTTGCTGAGGCCCCATTAGTTATTACATTTTCAGTCTCATTTGTTTGTGTGTCTGTATTACCAAAGATTGATAGCTGCATTATTTATACAATAAACACTATATACTATTATTAATTGTGTATTCAAGCTAGCTGCTGCTGATCCATGTGATAGCTGTACTGACAAAAGTAGGAGAGTGGACAATATTATGTTACATTACAATAATTTTATATATATCTTGTTCTTATACACATCTGGATAAGGTGCCATATTTCCTTAAATATCAACCTTTTGGCGATTGCCTCAACCCAAAAATATCTCTTCCACACAAGGGTCTCATGGAGCCTTTTTAAACAAGATTTTTTGATATGAAAGAAACAGAGTTATAAGTATTTCAGCAACTGAACTATTTCCAACTTAGAACCAACATATTTCCCAATAGACTAAGGTAGAAGCTTTCATTTGGAGTCCTAGTGGACGTTCACTTGACTATGAGCCAGCAGTGTGCAGCAGCAGCAGCCAAAAAAGCTAATACAATCTTGGATTGTATAAACAGAGGCATAGAATCAAGATAACGCAAAGCATTATTACCGCTTTATAAAACCCTAGTAAGACCACCCCTGGAATACTGCAGCCAATTTTGGTCACTATATCACAAAAAAGATTTGGAAAAAAAAATTCAGAGAAGAGCAACTAAGATGATCAAAACATACGAAGAACGACTGCAGGGCATGGGTTTGGCTAGTCTAAAGAAAAGAAGAAATAGGGGAGACATGAAAGCAGTGTTCCAGTATCTGAGGGGCTGCCACAAGGCAGAGGGGGACAGGTTGTTCACCAAAGCACCAGATGGAAGGACGAGAAACAATGGTTGGAAACTGATCAAAGAGAGAAGCAACCTTTGAATTAAGGAGAAACTTCCTGACAGTGAGAACAATCAACCAGTGGAACAGCATACGCCCAGAAATCATGGGTGCTCCATCAGTGGAGATTTTTAAGAAGAGACTAGACATTCACCTCTCTGAGATAGTATAGGTTCTCCTGCTTGAGCAGGGGACTGGACTAGAAAACCTCCAAGGTCCCTTCCAGCTCTATTCTATTCTATTCTATTCTATTCTATTCTATTCTATTCTATTCTATTCTATTCTATTCTATTCCAATCCAATCCAATCCATGGTTTTTGTTAGGCGCAAAGAATCAGGACCATATGTTGGATTGCAACATGGAAGATTTATTCAAGTCTATACACAAGACTCTAGTCAACTAATTGGAGCCAGATAAAGGTCAACAGAATTCAGGAGGGGCTGGATTTGGACCGTTTGTGGCAACATAATGACTCTAAGCTGCTGATGCATTTAATTCCATCCACAGCTCTGCCTGTTCTTCTCCTACAGCTTTCCTATAAACCATTGAAAAAAATAATGGTTTTCACTTATAACCAAGAAACCTTCAAGTGGCTTTTTATAAAACCATCTCCTGAATCCTGATCAATCATTCAATAAACTGTTTTATAAGAACATTATATACTGCTATCACACTGTATCAGACTATGTAAGTGGAATGCATTGCAGCAGATCTAAGAAGCTTTATTAGTAGCATAAACCTAGTGAAGTTACATTGACATCAGGACCCAATATGGCCATTACAGAAACATTCACAAGCTCATTTCTGTTGTTACTGACTAAATATTTTAATTTAAGGCAAACTAATAATAAGCTAATCCTAACCAAGCTTGGAAATGAAATCCACTCCCCCCAAAAATCAGAAATAGATTGAGTGTATTCTAAGCCAGTTACCCACTCTTCAACTGCCCCTCCCCCAAACTCTTGAAAGGACATTAATTACAAACACACCTTTTGGGAATGAAACATTCAGTTCAATATCAACACCCATCATGGTAGGTATATATGTCAGCAAAGTCTGCTGTTACTGTCATTAAGCTAAAGCTTATTGATGGCCACTGTACTAAGCAGAGTTTCATATCTGCTCAGCAAATATGTATAGTATAAAATATAGTGTAATAAATGTAAACTATTGAGAATGTTACCCTTATCTTCTGCACGTACACACTGAATGAAGAAGGTATACATTGGGCAGTACAATGTCCATATAATGTCATCTTTCCCCAATTGATGTACTCCTAGTCAGATCACAGAATTATTGATTTTGCTATTAGCAAACTTAAGGCCAATACAAAATAAAAGCAGTATTCAACAGCAATGAAAATATAGGATACAAATTTAATAAATCAATAATACTTTGCTTATATTCCTTCTGAATATTCCAGCAAATTCCATATGAAATTTGAAATTCTACTACTCCTCTCAATTTGCCCCTTTAATTCAAGAGCAATACATTTTCTTAAAATTGGATGCTCTTCCTCAAGTGAGTAGAGATAAAAACTAACAAGAAATCTCAGACGTGATCAAACAAGTGATCGATCGGAGCAACCAGACAAATCTTTGCTCCTTTGAAAACTTGTCATTGCATTTTGATGACTCTTTGCTGTTGTCCCTTCACTGAAATTAAAACTGTGATTACTCTTGCATAATGGGAGAACTTTTGTAAATATGTAATGAAAAATATTCCTCCTTACCATTTTAGCTCAGTCTTACAATAAACAGTATTTAACATAGTGTTTTTGCAATGTAATAGAAATGTTTACTGGATGTTGATTAAGGCAGATTTTTATCCAGCTGCAGATATGATAATATTTGTACAGCTATGGAAGCTCACAGTAACTTCCCATCACTATCTTTTAATCAAAATAGAGTAAGTTCTCATTGCACTATAAATGAAATAATCTTTGGTGGGTCAATCACAGTGTCTACAGTTCTCATATAAAAAAGCTGACTCATTTGAAGGAGCTTTAGGTTGATTTACTAATTTGTTTCCAAATGAAAACAAGAAAAAAATGCTGTACAATGAAACATTATTGTGTCAGAATATTATTCCGTGTTTTATATACTTCAATTTCAGTGGGATAAATAGATAGGAAACTGCTTTTTAAGGAGGCAGGTCAGTGGGACATCTAACTTGTAATTTCTATAACTAGCTTCGGAGTTTGGGATAAGGTCTCTCCAGGCACCAATCTACTAGAAGATGCTAAAGATGAAATCTAGGATCTCCCATGTGTAATGTATATGGTCTTCCCTGGTTTTGGCCTCCATTCTACCAATGATTTAATGATGAAAACTGTGAGAAACTTCGGTTATTTATACTGAAAGAGGAAACAGCAATCAGATTCATAGTGAACTGGTGAATATGAACTCAGGTGAAGGAGGTCCATGGGAATGGCATGAAATTTCAAAAGAGTGGAGTTCAGAATATGAATTTGCCTAACTTGCAAAATGCTAAGTTCCACCTACCTAGAAAAAAAGTCTTTGGTTCAAAATTTAGGCTACGAAGTTCATTCAGCAAATTTGTTTCTTTTACACTTATTTTTCTTCATGTCAGTAATTAAGGAGATTATGCTCAGATAGGCTTTTAAGATACTGTTACTATATCCTAGGACAAAGTAAAACTCCAGGAATCTCTGTGATATCTACATCTTGATCTGCTCTACCTGTCTGGGCTGACCTCAATCTTGAAAACCAATCTCTTTCTGTTCCCCTTATGCTATGCAAAATCAAGGTACTCTGAAAGTATTTATTTATTTAAATTTATATGCAGCCCAAATTATTCTGAGTTTCTTTCTCATGCATCCTTCAGTCTCCAGGCTGTGAAATCTCTTGTCTAAGTCCTTATCAATTCTTTTATGACGTTCTCAGTGTCACTGTAAAAACCTTTACACAACTCAATTGATTTGCTGGTGTAGGTGATCAATCATAACCTGTCATGCAGAATTATCTTCAAAAGATCAATTGCATTTATCTTTGAATAAGCAACGTACCAACTTCTCCTATCTCTGCAACACGGTCAAGACATAATTCCAGATCAAGACATAATTGTTATAAATCCATCCTATATACATTTTAATCCACACATACACATTTACTTAATACTAATTACAATTCTTTTGACTATCTCTACAAATTCCCTTGGATAGACCAAATACTATCATAATAAAACAGTTCTAAAAATAATCTTCCTAAGGAATATATTATGGTATAAATTTGCCTAAATACAAGAGTTTGAACCCAAAGGGTTCCAGTTATTAACATTTATTCTTGGAACAGCGTCTCTTTTTCACTTGTATGCACACATGCAACACTGCTATCTCTTGTTACTTTTTAGTTTAACTTTCTTTTTCAAGAAATAAAATAGGAGTACAGGAATGTCTATTACTGTGTCTGGATGGCAGAAACCAAAACGGTTTTCCAAACAATTGCCTTTGCTACTGGATAAGTCTACCCATTAAATTTACAACTCCCACTGAGTGCTGCATGTTATTCAAAATTAGCAAGTAAAACAATGCCTAGCAAATGATACAATGCCTGGCATAGTCTTCTGAGATCTTGTTTCACAGGTCAATATGCTTTGCAGGCAGGCTGTTTCAGAACGCAGACAGTGCCTTAAATCCACTGCAGATTCTGCAGCCTTTCCTGAATTTTTTTTACAAACTTGAATTCATGATTCTTTGAGATTTGCCAAACATTCCACAGCATAATCAGAAAGTCAAAAGCTGTTTTGCATCCTTTTTCTTTGCCCACTTTGAATCTAGAAGAGACCTTCCTGAAGAGAAATTCAGCAGCTGAGGGAAGTGGATAAATTGCCAAACCAAGGCAGCTCAAACATGGGAGTCTTGCCAACAAACTAATCTCAAAGTGACCCTCCATGCCAAATCCTCTTGATACTTGCAGATGCTGTCCAAGCAAACTCTAGGGGAAGTTTTGAGTTAGTACATGACTGTGCATTTGGCTGCCTGGAGACTTTATCTCAAGAATTCTCCCAGAAGGGAAGAGGAATCTGGATATCTAGTTCTAAACAATGATGCAACAGTGTCAGTGACAAATAGGATTGTCAATAAGCTTGTTGGAGACTTTGTTGCATTAACATTTCCCTACTGACCTCCTTTGCTTAGTTCCTAGTTTCACGCAAGATGCAGTGCATCGGACTTTATATAATTATCATTCTTTTTAACTTGCTGTGTTTTGTATAAATGAGTCCCATCTTTCATTATATTTGTCCATAAATTGTCTATAAGCAATCCACTCATAAGTGGCAAGTAATTAGGTCTTCGATACATTGAGTGAATGGGGCAGTACAGTTATTTTTCCAAGACTGCAATATCAATCTTTTGGCTATAATAAGGGCATGGAGAATCCATTTACCTTGTCCAATTGTCAAATTCCAAATACTAGGTATGTAGTTAGGAAGAATACAATCTGAAAAGTTTAGCTTCTGTTGCACAATGTTTTTATAATCCAGCACTTTCTTCCAAAATTTAATACAGAAGCTTTATCTACGGCAGAACTAGAACTCACAGTCTCCTAGTTTCCAGCCTGGTGTCTTAACCACTAGAGCAGGCTGGTTCTCATGAACCAACTTAGTGTTCAATTAAATTCAATTTTAATTTTTCATTTTAAGCTCTGTTTTCATGGACCTCTAATTTAATTAATATGCATTGTTTACAATTCACAATTATGCTTTGATTCAAGTTTATCGTACTTGCACCAACTAAATTAAGTATAGATACAGATCTCCTTCCTTCCAGAGATGTGTGTCTTCTGCCTTATCTTTCTTCCTTCTTTGATGCATCTTTTATATTTTAAGTCTGAAGGCCAGGAATGTTCTGCTAATGTATTCCAGAACAGTACTATGTAAACTAAACTTTAGTTAGAAGGAACCCAAACTATCACTATTACCATCAAACTGCAAAAATAGCCATCTGAACTTTTCCCACAGAAGCATGAATAAAAGCCAATTTCTTCATAGAAGTTTACTGACCTCACAGCAATAGGATTTGCAAAAGGATGAAGATGGCAAGAGGAAAGAATATAGATTAATGTAGATCAAAGCCATATGAAAGCTAATTTAAAATTCCACCTCTACATCATAGATCGTTTACAACAAATGAGATGCCTCATGAAAATATAGTAAGGCCTCTTGCAAATCCTAAACAGAAATGGCATTGATCTTGTTCATCTACAAACACAAAAATAGTTTATATGTATAAAACATGTGGTTGAAGATTCTACTAGATGTGGTTGGAGATTGTATTGCATGTCTAAGTATATTTACACAAATTCCTTGGGTGTCTAATCGCACCTGGTCAAATAAACTGTTCTGTTCTGTTCTGTTCTGTCCTGTCCTGTCCTGTCCTATCCTATCCTATCCTATCCTATCCTATCCTATCCTATCCTATAGCAGTTGCTTTACTAAGCTACAGGAAGGCACTATATTTGTGTTCTCACACAGTCCTTTTCCTAATTATTTTCAAAGCACTATTTAGTTATGATTCATGGTACAATCAGATTTGATTTGATTATACCTGATTTGGTATTTTTATTCATCTATCAAGTCCTTCCAAGGATCTGGGATAGGCAGATGTTGATGTGCTATGTGTTAGTTATTATTATTGTTCACCGCACAGCCAGTCAGATGTTCTGACTGGATTTTGCATTTTTGTCCACCTATCGAGTCTTTCCTAAGGACCTGGGATATTACTATTAATTTATCCCCACCCGTTTTGTATATATTTATTTTGCTCAACTCAAAGCAGCAAACCTGCCTAATACTCCTACCTATTTTCCATCACAATATAAACTAGATATTGCAATTACGTGGCTTCTTATGCTAATCTTATTCTGCTCTCAGAAAATAATTCAATATGTAATTATTTCAAAGGCTGCACATCTTTATTAGTCCACATGTGGAATTTCTACTTGCAAAACTCACAATAAAGCCATTGTGAGCAATACAAGAAGGAAGTCTAAACGTTTTGGGGTGAGAAACAGAATGGAATGAAACGGCCATTTCCTTACCAATCCATCACAATTGCTGATCGCCACTGTGGCCTCTGGCATGTCTGTGATGCCTCCTGTGAAGATGCATTCCTGCTTCAAGGGTTCCCGAAAAACTTCTTGGAAATCTTCTTGCCACTCAGCCAAAGCACCAGGAGACACCAGCTTCTGGTTGGGTTTCAAGCGAAGGTGCAGTTCCTTGCCCAGAACACTAACATTGAAGAAGTACAATGGATTCCCAGAGATGGCTTGTTTCATAGGGGTGCTACGAACCGTCCTGTGTTGACCTGAGTGATGTGCAGGAGCCGATGAATCAGACACCACATGTGATAGGAACCGTCCCTGGTGATCTACACTGAAGGGCACAATCACATCATATTCACTTAGCTTTCCAGACAGGAGCAGCTCTGTGGAAATAAATACAGATAGACAAACGTCAATACATTCAAATAAAACAAATTTGGGTGTGAAAAGGAGCCTTTCTTCCCCAAATATCTACACTTGTAACTCCAGCAACATGGAATTTTATTCATTGACTCTTCACTTATAGCAAATCCTAAGAAAGTTGACTGCGTGATGTCACAAAACCATATTTTAATTTAGTATGTGTGGCCAGTTTACATTTTGTATGTTGTAGGTACCCAGGGAGGGAAAAAATAGAATTAAAATGGGTGAATTTTGCAACTCAGATACATTAATGCAAATGTACATTACATTTGCAAAAGTCCTATGTATCCTATTTTTTCCCTTATTTATTTTGATTTTACTTCTCATCAGATAGGGCAAAAATGATGTAACTCTTTGGACCACTGAAAATACAAAACATGTATTCAGCAAGGCACTGCCACATACTTTAAAGCATATTTTCACATCAAATGCCTTTGCCAAAGCTTGTATTGCATACATTCCTGCTTTCTGAACTGAAAAAGCTCAGAAAGGTCCATTCTGTGCCATCCTACCAACCAACAATGCATTTTGCACTTTTTTTCTGCACTGCACTCTATAGCTAGTGATAGAGGCATACAGACATCACAACTAAATATTTTGATGATGTATTGACTGTTGTACAAGCCTGTGAAAATCTTTAAGCAATTGTGATTTGATTCTGATCTTTTATCCTCATTCTTCTGGCAGCTGGCCATTCATACAGAAAAATGTAATGTTCAGGTTTTTGTTTTTAAGCATTCCTCTTCCCACTCCCATTTGCAGCCATTATCCTTGGCTTACACACACACATACACACATATACAAGCAAGCCTGGTGAAGGAGATTTGAAGTGAATAGGAACCACTCTTCATCTCCAGTTGCAAAACAAAGTTATTTCCCTTACAAACTTCAGTTTGTCAAATGAATACAGTATGTTCAACACAGCAGAAGAGAATTGTGCTGACACAAATTGATGGCACTTACATGGCCGGCTGACACCAAGCATCTAAGTGATTCATTCTGTAACCAAACCCAAGAAACACATAATGTAAGTACTCCAAAAGGAAGAAATCCTTTGAAATGAAATAATGGTTCATCAAGATAACCAGATAACTGAAAAGTCTTGGAACAGAATCCACAACAGTTTCCAGCTTCTCATCCAAGGAAAACTATTGCTAGGGTAGATACCATGTGTTAAAATAAGATTAACAGCCTCACATTTAAATATTTAAATTATTTAAACATAATACATTTAAATAATACATACTAAGAATATGATCAAGCAAGGTTTCCCTATAAACACAGTTCTCTTTACAAGCAAAGTTCTTCTGATTGGTATGCTGCAACACTCCTGTGTATTTTATTTTACTTTATAGCCTATTGACTTCCACATCAGGACAATACCACAAAGATCTCCAAAATGAGAGCTACTGTATTTGCAACAAAGTAGCCAATCCAGCAGAAATCCATAAACCTGTCTAGTATGATCATGTGTTTATTAAAAACAAGTTTGACACTGAGAAAATCTGATTGACAGGGGCTGAAAAATAACAATCAATGCTCAAATTTAAACCTACTCTTTATGTTCATGCCTGTAGCAAGCCAGATGATGGATTTTTAAAAGATTGGCAATTGCTTTCTCCCTTGTAATAGAAGAAAAGTCCCGTCTTCCTTTCCAGTTTCCAAACAGCAAAGCTAAAGCTGGGCAGAGCAGACACCGCATGAAATGGGAAGCTGGTGCCTAGAAATCTGGGGGCCAATTGTAGAGAAAAGCTCAAATATCACTGTAATTAGCAACATGTGGCAGACGAGTTGTTTCCATATCTACTGGGATTAAGGGATATCCTGCACATCATCTGGGCAGGAGGGCTTCCAGGATCCAGAGAAAGGAGTAGTGCACAGGTAGGAGGCGATTTGTCCTTTACCGTGAAAAGGCAGTTTTTCAATGACAGGTAGATATTCCAGAGGGCAGGAGCAACAGCTGAGAAGGCCCTCCTCCTGGACCCCACCAACCGGAATAATTGGGCTGATAGGACCCGCAGCATGCCTCCTCTGCCGGCATGAGTGGTACTGGCCAATCCTAGTGGGGTGAGACAGTCCCTCAAGTAACCTGGATCAATACTCTGCATTTGCAATATACAGGAGCTTTGTAAAGGAGAGATCCAGCCTAGAACTAAGGAGGAATTTCCTGACAGTGAGAACAAATTTCCCGGCTTGTCTTCAAAAATTGTAGGTGCTTCATCACTGGAGGTTTTTAAAAAGAGACTGGACACTTGTCTGAAATGGTACAGGATCTCCTGCTTGAGCAGGGGGTTGAACTAGGACCTCTAAGGTCCCTTCCAACTCATTCTCTTCTGTTCTATGGATGGAAACTAATCTGAGAAGCAAGCTGGAATTAAACAGAAACTTCCTAACAGTGAGAACAATTAACCGTGGTGCAGCTTTGCCTTCAGAAGTTGTGGGTGCTTCATCAGTGGAGGCTTTTAAGCAGAGACTGGACAGCCACTTGTCTGGAATGGTATATAGGATCTCCTGGTGGAGCAGAGAGTTGGACTAGAAGACCTCCAAGTTCCTTTCCAACTCTGTTATTCATTCTCTCTCTCTCTCTCTCTCTCTCTCTCTCTCTCACTCACACACACACACACACACACACACACACACACACACACACACAGGAACGCACACACCAAACGTCTAATACACTCATTGATATCTCGCCCGGGGAAGCTAAACAAGTTTGATTTTGCAGAGTCGCCCTGCCACTCAACGGAACCCTCTCGCAGCCTGGTCCCCAAACGCTCTCCAGCTTGCAACGAGCCTCGGACCGAGGCTCTTTCTACCCGGCGCCGAACCTACAAACCGCGCCAGCAGCAGACGGGGCGACCCGGCTTCTCTCCGTCGCGCCTGTCCCCGGGGACGCGTCCCTGCAGCCCAGCCTGGCGGTCCCCTTCTTCCTCCCCGCCTTCGACAATCGCACCCCGGGAGCCGGGAGCCGCCGTTCCTACCTTGGACTCTGCCTTGCCTGCCCGAGGCTACCCAGCACCGCAGAGGCACCACCCAAGAGAGCATCGCCACATAAAAGAAGAGAGAATCCATCCGGGGGGTCGCCACGCGCTTTCCGGCCGTTCCAGAGCTCGGCGAGGCGAGAAAGCGGGGGGGGAGGGAGTTGGTCCTTCAGACGCGGCTGCTCCTCCAGAACGCGAAGGGAGCCCGCTGCGTCTTTTTCTTTCTTTCTTTCTTTCTTTCTTTCTTTCTTTCTTTTTTTCTTTCTTTCTTTCTTTCTTTCTTTCTTTCTTTCTTTCTTTCTTTCTTTCCTTCCTTCCTTCCTTCCTTCCTTCTTTCCTTCGTTACCTTCTTTCCTTCCTCGCCTCCCGCCGAGCCGACTGGCCTCTCAGCAGAAGCCCCGCGGGAGCAGGAGCCACTCCGCCAGCTGGTCCTCCCGGCAGCGCACTGAGCCCGAGCCGGGACGCGTCGCCTCCATGCAAGGCAAAACGGCCGGGGGCGGAGGAGGCGCCGCTTTCCCGCTGCAAGGCTGAGGGGAGCCGCGGGAAGGGGAGGGCAGGGGAGGGAGACAGACGGGGAGGCCCGCGCGTGCTCCCGGACGACCTCCTCTGAGTGACAGCCAGGCCGGCAACCTGACCCGCGCGACGGAGCGGGGGCTGGGAAGACCTCCCGCCTTCTCCTCTTGCCCGGGAGCGCCGCCGAGAGAGGACTTTCCATTGCACGTGGCGCTTTCAACGCGGCTCGGCTTGCCAATGGCCAAGCCCCGAGCCAAGCCCCGCCTCCTGCCTGGACGCCGCCGACGCCGACGTCGAAGGGTCCCGAGATTTTGAGTCGGGGGTCCCAGAGTCGTCCTGAGGCTGGAGGGAGGAAGGACGCTGCGCTCTTCCCGCGCTTTCTTTTGCGTTGCTGCCTCGAGGGTCGCCAAGGAGGCTCGTGGAATCCTACCTGCCCGCGTCCCGTCTAGAAAAAAGGGAGGAATTCCGACCTTAATGCAGCTATTCCCGAACGTTTTCCTTCGATACCCGAAATGCTTGTTTGTTTGTTAAATTTATATAGGTACTCCTCGGCTTACGACCCCGGTTGAGACCAAAATTTCCGTTTGCTAAAGCAAGACAGTTGTTCAGTGAGTTTTGCTTCGTTTTCCTACCGTTTTTGCCAGTTGTTAAGTGAATTGCTTAAGGTGATCACCGGACTCTGGGACGCTGCAGCCGTCAAAAATACATGCCAATTGCCAAAGATCCAAAATTTGATCACTTGGTCGTGAAGATGTTGTAAGGGTCATATGTGTGATTATGTTCATAAGTCACTTTTTTCAGTGCTGTGTAACTTCAAACACTCACTAAATGGATGGTTGTAAGTAAGTAAAAAAAAAAAAACTATATGCTGTCCATCTCACTGTCCAATTACTTTGGACAGCTTGCAACACCAGAAAGTCTTTACTTAAATGTCCCTGTTGTGATGCGTAGTAGGTCCGTAATAGGAGGAGGAATAGCAGAACCTGGGGACGGATGTAAAAGAGGGATCAGCCTAGAATCCCTACATAGCCACAAATTGACTAAGTCCAGCCCTTGAATTCCTTTGACCCTTTGATATAATTCCAAGCAGGTACTAACCGTTAGCTGAGAAGATTTCTGTGTGTAGGCTTTTTAGCAATAAATCAGTTTAATTGGACCTTCTCAGGTAGACCTGGTCTTTCCCAACTATGTTTCATTTTTTTCTAGCCAGAAGATGTTGCTAGAGCAGTGGTTCTCAACCTGTGGGTCGGGACCCCATTTGGGGTCGAACGACCATTTCACGGGGATCGCCAAACAATGCAGTCCACCATTTTTTTCCCCTTTTCCTTAGCTGTGCTACTCCCTTTTATTCTATTGGCTTTTGAAAGCCAATAGAATAGACTCTCTTCAATAGAGTCTAATTCTATTGGCTTTCAAAAGCCAATAGGAATTGTGCAGGCTGTCTCTGCCCTGCTGAGCCCGCCAAAAGTCCCGTTCTGCAAATGGTGCTGCACCAGTTGAGTAGTCCTTGACTTATGACCGATTGAGTAGTCCTCGACTTACGACCGGTTGGGGGTCGTGGCATTAAAAAGGTTGAGAACCACTGCTCTAGAATGTCTATCAAGGGACAGTTTGTAACATTTAAGGGTGTGTGGAGCTGCCTAGTGTTTTAAACTATCTTTTGCCTGAAGGTGGAGGGACATCTGTGTGGGTGGTTGCAGATAAACAAGCCTCCAGTTGTGATTTGGGATGATCCCTCCATTGCAAATGGAGATGATGTTCACAGCCATTAACTGGTTACTTCAAGGACAGAATAACAGAAGAAGAGAGTTGGGAGGGACCTTGGACCCCCTTACCAGCTAGGTCAGGGGTCCCCAACCTGTGGGCTGTAGCCTGGTAGTGGGCTGTGACCTACTGGCCACTTGGCCACGGGACAGAACCCCCCTCACTTGCACTAGCGCTGTGGACGCAGGGTGCAAAAATGATGTCATGCCATGGGGCGCAAAAATGGGATGCCACAACGTGGGGTGCAAAAATGGGCCACCGCCGCACCGTGGGGCACAGAAACAAGGCTCTGTGCCACACAAGAGCAGAGCAGAGGTAATGAGTATCATGCGGGTGTTAGCCCTGCCGTTTGCGGTGCACACGTGCCTGCGGCTCCATGTGCATACGCATACACGCATGTAAAATGTCTCCCCCTCCCTTTTCCTCCTGTCCGCCAACCGACAAAGGTTGGTGACCTCTGAGCTAGGGCACCTAGACCATCTTGACGAAGTATGTAAATGTAATAAATAAGTAAATTAATAGGGATCTGGTTAGTATTAGGATGGAAAAACATCAGGAAATCTCACAACTAGGCAACTGGGAAGTGGAATGAATATCTCAGAAAAATGGGCTCAGCAAACTACTGTATTCTAAAAAATTCAACTCAAGGCAGATCATCTGATCTTGGTATCTTGTCTATTTTGGCAAATATATAACGAGCATGAATATCAAATTATTATGTATATTTTCATAAAAGCCTCAGCTGCATGAGACAATTACTCCTACTGAAGTACACAGTTAAGTAAGTGTGAATAGCTTATATCCCAATCCAAAAAAAATAGAGCTAAGCCAAACTTTATGATTTTATTTTCTCTTTTTTTACTGCTTTTCCTTTGGGAGGAAAAAAGACCACCTAGCAGCATTTTCTTCTGTATAGATATTTTCTCCTCTCTTTGTACAAATTCACGGAATTTCTCTGCCCATAAATTCATCTAGGTTTTTTTGAGAAATGGGCACATCTGGCCCAAGATATTTTCCCATGAAAATCAGAGGAACAAATGGCACTCACTCGTTCAAGTCCAAGGAAATTTCACCACCACCCTCTGCCCACCATTTGGCACATGAGCCAGAAGACCCTACAAAGGTGCCTTTCAACATATGTCATAAATTATTCAATTTCTAACAATCTCGTGGCAACGAAAAATAGTTGGATGCTTCTTTTTTCCTCCTATTTTGTCTGGTGTTGTAGACAGGATAACTATCTAACCAAGCAATTCCCAAACAACGCTATGAGCCTAGAACAAAATAATTTCTCTCAGTCTTCCTCAGTCAGAATGGGACAACTCACCCCAGGACAATTCAACAAATATAAAAGTTAAATTAATTTCAACAGAACCGAGGCCAGTAATAATAAAATAAAAGTCAGTCCAGCAATTGACTTTTATAACTCAAAGAGTTAACAATAATTTCAATGAAAATGTGATCACCAATAATAAAAGTAACTGAATGAAATAATTAATACAGCATTGGATTGTCCTGCAGCAAGTTGTCCCTGGTGAGTTGGCCGTGGGAAGTTGGCCAAGTCTAATTGGCCACGTCTATTTGTCCTAGATCCTCCTCAATCCATTGCTGGATTGTTGGACTTGAGCTCCCTTAGTTCCTTGTTGATTGGGAGGAAATTGTTCTAGAGATGAAGGTAGATAAAATGTCTGCACCGTTGCCATTTTCAGTAATGAATGCAGCTCAGGTGCTCTTCTGCAATGCAAACAACAGTTGTTGCCAACTATTTGTTCATGTTTGACCAATGTAGCAACTAATTTATTAGAAGCACATAAGGAACTCTGTTACTTTTTCTATAGGAGAACAAAAGATTCTTCAAAACAGGGCTTTTCAACCTTTTCACAGATTGTACCACTTTTAGGACATGACAATATTTGAGTACCACCAGTGTTTAGCAAGGTGTCAAAAACTTGATGACTTAAAAAAGGGGGGGGATTTTGGGTTTTACTGATTAGATTCATTTGTTATTATGGAAATGGCTAGTTTATAATATTATGGAAAAGTAAAAAGTTGAGGTTCATTGTTAATGCTGGAGCCAATCAGCTGGAGCCCTGCCAGCTCCTGGAGCTTCTGCCGAGCCCAAACAGTCCTGCAGCTGCAACTGCCTCAGGCTTGGGTCGCTTGGGCTCATTCCCCTCCCCTGCTACACTTGGCTAGCAGTCGCGTACCACCTGCCACGTGGCAAAGTACCACAGGTGGTACACGTACCACCGGTTGAAAAGCCCTGCTTCAAAACACTGCTCTGAATTTGTCCCTCAGGGAACAGGGATCAAGAGATTTCTAGCTTAATGGGTATGCTTTGCCTCCATAATGAACACATGTACCAATATCTCTTTTAAAAAAAACCAATCCCACAATCCTTTTAAGTACCCTTTTCCTTGCTTTATCAAATTCTAAGAGTATTGTTCTTGAGCATGGCTTCTTTATATAAAAATACACACAAACCCTCTGTATTATTTTATTATTATTATTATTATTATTATTATTATTATTATCATTAAAGTAATACTGATGGAAATCAGTATTACATCAATCAATCAAGCTAATCAAGTTTGTTATGCAAGTGACTGAAATTAAAATCAAGCTGATTTTAGAAGAGCTGTGGCTGACTGGCAAATATCATTATTTATTTTAACATTTATAGGGCTCCCGAATCAGAAAGTCGAGGTGGCGCAGCAGTTAGGGTGCAGTACTGCAGGCCACTTTAGCTGACTGTTCAGCAGGTCAGCGGTTCAAATCTCACCGCCTCAAGGTTGACTCAGCCTTCCATCCTTCCGGGGTAGGTAAAATGAGGACCCAGATTGTTGGGGGCAATGTAATATATATTACATATATATATGTAGGTCTTTGGTTGTTCGGGTTTTCTCCCGCATAAAATTGGAAGTGTCTTGGCGACGTTTCAACGAAGTCCCATTCGTCATCTTCAGGCTGGTGTTTTCAGCTTCGTGCTTTGAGCCCGTGAGATGGTCCAAACCAGATCCTGATGATTGAGGGAAAAATATCTCACACTTTGAGGGCTATAAATATAGTAATAAATAATAATCTTGCATTGCCTATCTCTACCTCTGCTTTATTCTGCCCACTTGACTTATGCCTCTTTCAACAAAGCTATAATATGGCAGAATTATATCTATAGTACATTCTCCTTTCTAAATGAAACCAGATACTAAAAGAGGGTTGAAGCTTCTCATCAAAATGAGCAGTGGAAAGCAAGTATGTGGAGTGTCTAATGCTGGTAGGTATATCAGATTAGACCATGAAATTTACTTTTATCTTAAAGATATTTTATGGTCATTAGAAGACCCACTGAAAAGCTGCTAGCACTATCTTTCATGAATGAGAATTACCGCATCTCCCAAATATGCAAAGCTGGGATTATATTGGAATAAAAAATATTTATGGCTGCTCCAACAGCAGAGAGAAAAAAGGGTCCTGCAGCCTTTAGTCAGAAGTACTACAACTATGTGAACGTTGTCACTGTGAGCAGTCATTTTCAAAATATGTTCCATGAAAGAACTTGTTAAAGGATGACCAGTTGTCAGTTGCTCTTGGTAGACCAAAGGTCCTCCTACAGAAGGACCAGCTGTGTTTCTGGCCTTCAATTGTCATGACCTTCTCAGAAAAATCTTGAAGTGGAGAACAAAACTAGCATCAAGTCTAGCATTGAATCTAATCCTGAAGACTGAGGACCTCACATAGATAACATAGCAGAATCTGTTCTAATTCTGTGGCTCTGAACTTCTACTCTGACATAGTTCCAAGTATTCAGTGAGATACCACACTGAGAATCAAAGAAGGAAGAGGGTTTTATGAGCAAGCTGAAAATCAAGAGGTACTTCCAAGTAACCCTGTATCCTGATTCAAGATAATTTTAACCAACTGGGTATAGACGGAGATCAGGAAACCTGCTGTTACCCACCAGGTATTAAAACAACAACCTACACCAGTCTTTTCTATCTTCTGAACTTTCACCCTGACTTCCTAAACAACCTTTAGACAACGTCTTGCTGCTCAGCAGGACTAAGTACCCTTTTAAGAAAACCCAATAAGACGACCTTGTGAGGAAACCTGAAATAAAGTGTTCATGCTTTAAATATACAGCAGAACGGTTCATATAAAATCCAAAGCAATTCTTCCAAATCTTTTTCAAAGCATGCACAGTTTTTCAGTTCAATTCTTTAGTTTGTCTGTGTAGTTGAAACCCTGGGCTATTGCTTAATGACATCTTTTTCCTACTAATTCTGTGATGTGTGAGGTTAGATGATTCAATTCTGGAACATCTGTCTGTGTTTTTGTTTGGAAAGATAGTCCTGGAAATCTGATAGGGCAGCAGTCCATAAGTTGAGTTGGAAGAGAATGAGCTGTCCTTAGATGAGACATTTCTGATAAAACAGCTGAGAAACAAAAGGCGGGGGAGGGGGACGGAAAAGCTTCGTTAAAATTTGAGGGGAATAATATCCCTGTTT